TTTCTCTTTTCTGTAACTTTATTTTGCGCAGGAGAACTAGGAATGGTGTATTGTGGCACAACGTCCTACTCTTTAAGTATGTACTGAAAGTACTATGATTTACACCCTCTTTACCATTCTCCCAATAAAACTCACCACACTATACCCAACTACTGTCAACTTTAGTCTGGTATTTTTTACACACATTAAGTGGTTCGGACTTTTGGTGGATTAAGTACACAATTATACCTTAAGAACTCATCAATGAAGACAATGAAATACCTTTACCGCAAACGAGCTACAATAAGAAATGGACCACAAAATTCGGTATAAAATATAGTCTAAAAAACCAAATGACCGACTAGCCTCAAAATTTGCGTTTCTCTGCATTGGTCATTTGATACAACCAACGTATAAAATTTATGGCCCAATAATCTCATCCTTGACCAAGCGTTCAAGTCTCTTTTGAGAGACATTCCCTAATATCCTATGCATAGCATAGATGAAACCACATCACGATTTTATTCGGAAGGTATTGAGTCTATAGAAAAACGAGAAACAAGTAAGATCACACCCGAATCCATCTACCATGTCTATACCTATACTTTTACCAAGTTAGGCTCAAATATTAACATGGTAATTTTCTTTTTTGCTTTGTTTTTCTTTTTCACCACAATAACGTTTTTCTTTTGATGTCCTTTTATTTCTACAGGATCAACATTTATCATTCCATGATCAATATCTTTTCATGTATTATTCTGTCTTTCTTTATTCTGTTTAGCCTTATTCACTTTTTTGCCACCTAGTTTATTCTTGAAACGATTCTTGTTGTCATGGCAAGAAGGCTGACTCAGTTTTAACACCCTTGAGTCACTCCCCTTCAATCACATAAAGTGTTAACAGCTGGTTAATGCCACATTTAACTTCTTGTGAATTATAATTCACCTTGAAAAGTTGAAAAAACCTAAGTAGAGAATAGATCACCATGTGGACTACTAACTTATCATCAAATATGATTTCCTACTACCTCAAATTATTAACCAGCTTGCACATCTTATAGATGTATTCCCTCACTGAACCATTGCCAACATATCTGACTAACAGAACCATGTCAGATAATAGTATTGTAGTTACTTCTTAATGCCTATTAACTCTTTCTTGATAAAATCAAGAAGCTTATTCGCAATATCAAAACCAGAATACCACCCTGAATAGTATCACCAATAGAAGCATAAATTAACCTAATGACGTGGTAGTACCTTTAGTCCACATAAAAATGCAATAACTTTTCTACCTAAGAAGACTCTGCACTGGGCATATGGGTTTCTTCCTAAAAAAAACATAGACTCGTAGTCCAAGAAACCCAATATAATATCAAAACCTATCTTCTAAGCAATATAATTTTAACCATTCAATGGTTCAATCCCTATAAGCTATTTTTAAATTGCGAAAGCGTCTGTAACCTAAATAAATGTTATATTGAATAACACTACATCAACAACATATAATATAATATGTCATAACTTTAGGGATTATTACTTTAATTCATCTTAGGGTTTTAAGCCGAATTTCTCAGGATGTTTTACTATGTGCAAAAACCGTCTACCCTACGGGAACAGATAAAATGCCATCAATAAATCACCTTTTGGCAAAAATTTAGATTTTACTTTACCCCCCAAACCTGTGATAAAATCGCACATAGACCAATTTGATTATACTTGAATTATTGTTAAACACTTCCACTATCTTTTGGCAAGAGGGTTATTTAGTTATAATTCAAGCACTCTCGAATATTCTACTCACTTATCCCATACTAAGACATTGATCATCTTTTAGCAGAACTAATGCCCTCGTGTAGGTAAGTGCACTGTGAGACCTCAATAAGACCAATGTTTTAAAATTTCAAAAATAATAACCTCCGTGAGCATGTCACCTTTTGGCAGGTATCACCCACTTTGGCTACCACATTTGAAACGGTCACTTTATTGGTCTTCCTAAACCCCAAAGAAGAATCTAAGCTTCCGAAGTTCCATTTATTTAAGTTCAACAATTTCTTTATAATGCACATAAACTAAACCCAAATATTATCAAACACTTGATTTCACTGTCAATGAGGTCATGGAACCTAAAGAAAAATAAATGCGAAAGCGACGTTTCAAAAACGGACGAGAATGAACCTAGGGGGAAAATGATCATTTCTAAAATGAAAGTGGGTGCTACCGAGCACTCCATTGGATAGACAATGAAAAAATAATAAATTTAGACTCAAAAATCACTTGATTCGGAGTCCAGATGAGAAGGTTATGATCAAATGAAGAAAAAGGGTTAAAAGATACAACTCAGGACCATCTAATCGATTCAATTAGATGCCAAAATAGAATGCTAGAAAATCTGTGGGAGACCATCTAATCGATTAGATGAGGCTGACAGTAAGAAAAAAAATTTTAAACCAGAAAATTGAATTTGAAAAGGGATTTCCGGTACTAAAACGACATTTTCTGGAAAAACACGAAGAAGAAACCTCTCCTAAAATCATGTTTTCTAAGTGACCATGTTAAGGCCGGGATTTATTTCCTAAAAGAAAATCCCAAAATGCCCTTAAACCAGATTGTGCAAAAGAAATGTGAAATGAGTCCATAGGAGGCTCATTTCACCAAGGAATGAGTTTTTTTTTAAAACGATCATGCACGCAGACGTAACTTACCTACTATGTCGCGCTACAATGATCCACAACTTAAAAATACCGCTGATGCAAAATCCGACCCCCCAACGGCCAAAAAGGCTAAAATGCTACAGAAATGAAGAAACCAGCTCACCAGACATCTCACTAGATAGCGATACTGACAGCAATTTGTCTAATGTGGCAGAAGTCTAAAGAGCATCCAAAGAAAAAGTAAATTCTCCATCAGTGTACAATATCAGGATAAAAAACAATTCCATCAGTGTAAAGTATCAAGATAAAAAGCAATTCCAAAAGCAAATTCGCAACAGCACAACAGTATCTAAAAGCAACCATGATCCATCGAAAGTAGATTCTAAAGATAAGGGTGCCCCGTAATAATTCAATGAACCTTATCTCCAAAGCATCTTACATCTCAGCCATCTATGCAGCATCTAAAATCTCAAGCGTCGATTCATCTCGCAGACGACTCTATAAAGGAGGCCTTTAGCTCAAGGGAAGATTATCGAGTTTAGAGGCATCAAGCATTCCAGCCTTCAGCCATAGTTTCCTAGTGTGTTTTCTTTTGTGATTTTTTTCAGTGTGTTTCCTTTTGTAAAATATTATGTGAGAGTGTATCCATGTGTAAACAGTGTGTATCCATGTATATATTTCCTATTAAATTAAATATCCTATTTGCTCTTGTTCAAAAATTCCTTATCCCTATTTAGTATTTTCAGTACTTTCGGGCAAAAGACTTCTGTCGACAAAAAGATCAAATATATAGATTTTATTTAGCCAGACAGTGTAGATCGTAAAATTTTCTTGAATTAAACCAGTACAAGCAGCCTTAGTTTTAATTTAGCAATTTCTTTTGTGAATTGACTCGAATTGTTGGGTTGTTGGCCTGTTCTTGCAGGTGTTTAGGCATTTTTACAGGGCGTTATTAGAGCGTTATCAGGTTCTGCAATCATTTTTGTGATTTAATTGTTAATTTTATCTCTATGTTATTGCTTGCTTCTATCATGGTTCGATTGAATTTAATTTTGGTATCAGAGCATATACTTTTTCATTAAACTTAATTTATATATAAGATCTTTTGTCTAAAGAAGTCTATGTCCATATTAATCTATTGTGATATTTTGTGAAAAACTTTTTAAAAATATTAAATAGTTTGTTCAAGGATCTTTTCGTAAGTTTATTTCATGTTCTAAGATTTTTATGATATAATAGTAGTTGTTTTGGGTCATTATAGTAATATAGTTTATTGTGTAGTATAAAACAAAAAGTAGAGTTCATTTTATAGAAATAATTTATTGGTTCATCCATTTATTGAAATTTTATGACTTTGACTTTATAAAGGTGTAGTATAAACCCCTTGTGTCCATGTATTGATAGTTAGCACTATAGATAAAGTATGTCACGAAACTCCCACCCATCAAGGATCAAGGAGTCTATTAGACCAATCCCCATGGGCAGTCCTATGATAACAAAGCTTTATAATGGTATCAGGTCTACTAGACCAATCCCTACCATGGTTAGTCCTATGATAGCAAAGCTTTATAATTGATATGAGGCCTAGTGGTCTTTCCTCCCTTCAAAGCTTAGATAAGTCTCTCATAGTGTCTGAGTTTTTTTTTTTTTTTTGCCAGGAAAGGAAAGAAAAATTAAAAAATTAATTAGTGCCATCGTAATTCAAATCTAATCTCAGCTAGTTCATACTTCAAATCTAATTTCAGCTAGTCCATCCAGGACATCACTACAATTTGAGAAGAAAAAAAATTTCAGCATCAACGTTTCGACTCTCGTCTCTCTCTAACCAAGCAGCAACAGTTACTCTAGACACTCAAATGCAGTTTGCAGGTTTATCCCTAGAAAATTTCAGATTTATGACAAAAACAAGCTCAAGTCATAAAAATGAAATAAAATAAAATAAGAGATTATTACATATAAATGGTGCTAAAGACCTATATTTACTATTTAATGGAGTAAAAGTCTCATGGTTTTGAAAAAAATGAAGTTGACCAAAATGCTGACGTGAACACGAAGAAACATTGTTTACCCTCACTGAGGTACTACTTTCAGGCACATAGGTACCACTTTAACATTGTTTATCCTCACTGAAGTATCATTTTTAGACACATAGGCACCACTTTTGTTTTGGACATAGAGGTACCACTATTTTGTGCAACACAAAAAGTGATACTTGAATGCACAAATAGTGATACCTATGTGAAGGTAAACAGTTTTTTTTTTTTTTTAAATGGTACTCACACACACTACTTATATTGAGACTGACTCTATCAAATAGTAAATATGGATCATTAGCACCATTTATATGTAATAATCCCATAAAATAAAATGTAAGCTTCCACTGTAAAGTATTATTTGCATAATATGAGTTGAACATTGAAGGAATAAACTCCAGCCTATAGAGAAAAGTGACTTGGAAGGAAAACAGCTTAAATTTTATACATATTAAACTGCTTAAAAGCAGAACCAAAAAGGTAAACAAAAAGAATATCTTAAATCACACACATTCCCCAAACCATAGAACATAGAGCTCAAAAGAATATATCAAAAAAACAAAACTTGACATTTCTCAGAGCCCCTGGGTAACATTTCTGCTATTATGTTAATACCAGACGACTTTGTATCAATACAAGGATGAATCAATAATCTCTTTAGAACTTTTGAATCCTTCAAGAAATACTCTATCATTTTCAGCTCATCAATTTCCCCTTTAAACCACCAAATGTAAATGACCTTTAGGTGAAATAATGAACAAGAAGGCACGTTCTCAGGTGGATACCAACTATATGTTGTCTGGTTTTCCTCGACTTCCTCTTGTAAAGGTAGTCCCTAATCAAAAAAGAAATATAAATTGCAAAAACTCTCATTTAATAACTAATCAAACAGAGCATTAGTAATTTACCGCAAAACTAAGCTTTTCCAGTTGCGGAGAGCTTTCAAGAAAATCCAGTAGCGAATTCCATGCAACATTACAACCAATCTCCAAACAAGTCAAATGGTCAAACTTTGGCAGCGGAACCTGCACAACTGAAGGGTCTTCATGCAAAAAGAAAACAAAGTCAATTAAAATTTGAAGCAAGTCAAAAATAGTCCAAAATGTACATATGAGCATCAAAAAAATAGAAGAAATCATCATGGCAAACTGAGCTGACCGATCTGACCTTCGTGGGATCATAATAAGATAAAAAAAGCCTCTGAACTTTAGATATTCCTTCAACAAATTCTGCTACAAGTTCTTTCACAGAACCATCATGGACAGTGCCGTCTCTTAGGAACAAACTAATGTCAGCATCGACAAGCCCGTTTAATTTATTCACTGAATAGCCTTCTGCTACATAGTCATGCTATTTAAAATGTTGGAGATTTTGTGTATTAAATACGAGATTGTAGCCGCCCTTAGACCAGGAATTTATAACTAAACTCTTCAAAACAGGAGCAGAAATGTGAAAAACACTACTATTATTTAAATCACAATATCTTAACGACAACTCTTCAAGCAGAGGGCAGCCAGACAAGAGTCTATTAATTGAGTCATCATCCGAAAATTCAAGTGTTTCAATAAGGAGGATTTTGAGATTCTGCAGACAAACCAATGTAGGGACATTAAGAACAAATCTACCAACCAGTTCAAGTACCTCAAGACTTGTACAAGTAAAAACCCCGCGTGCCAGCCCATTATAGTCATGCATTTGAAACAAAAGATGAAGTTCACGCAGATTACATGCTAGTGCAGTAGAAACCAAAAAGTTAAGATTTGAAACATTATAATTCCGAGTACATCTCAGGCGGAATGTATGCAAATATGATATATTGTGTAAGAGAACTCGGTCAATAAAATTTATGAAGTTCTTTTCCACTGACCGAAGTTTTAGCTCTATACACTCCCGAGGATTTATAGGTTTGACTAGCAACTCATCTTCGAAGTCGAGATTAGTGATTGAGGTCCAGAGGTATTTCCATTTTGTTGATAACACACTAGTTGCCACCGCATCCTTTGTTGGAAGGAATGAGAGGATATGGCCGATAAGACAGCTTGGTAAGTTGCTAATTCTGTCTTCATTTTCCTCCACTTCCACTTTCTCAAAATGCCTCCCACGTTTATAAAATGAATGCATCACTTCTGTTATGTTCCTAATGAAGGGAACAAATATATAATAAAAGAAGGTGAGATACACCCATTTCTTAAACCGAAAGTTTTAAGACCATTAGATGTTTTAACATGGGAGCCACTTTGTGTTTTTTTTTTTTTTTTTTTGATTAACCCGGGGTGTCCGGGATGGCACGAACCCTTAATGTCTCTTAACAACCCGACTAATCCCCGAGGACCCGGAAGGGCGCCTCCCCACCCAGGTCGGGTAAGTCACTGTAGGAGCAGTGGAGGCTAGCCACAAAGAACAACATGCGAGACTCGAACCCCAGACCTTGAGCTTGCTAAGCTCCAAAGTCCAGTGAGTAAACCGCTGAACTATATCCGAAGTGGATAACATGGGACCCACTTTGATTCCATATATATACATGTTAGAGCATTCAATGGTTAAAAATGTGTAGGTTTATGAAATTGGCCAGTGAATTCGGCCAAAGTATAATTTTCCATAATAAAATGCTAAAAATATGGCAGTGAACAAAGTGAAGAACAAGTAAAGTTATATGTCTATACATTGAGTTTCTTCGATTATGGAAGACTATTTAGCCATCCATTGGGTACCCAGAAGAACATTGATTGTGGTAGGTTGTTTTGCTAATTTTTGAAATTGAATTAAAATTTGAACCAGATAATTGAAAGGGCACTCAAATTATTCAATTTCCAAGAGCCACAAAAATGAAACACCCTCCTAATTTGAGTAATATATTATGTATTTATTTTTTTCTTGCAAATAATTGACTCCAGTCTTCCTATTAACTCAATAACTCAATTCTTTCACAAACACTTTTTGGTATCCATGCAAGCAGGAGAATCCGACATTAAACTCCAAATTCACATGAATATAACCCAATTCAGTCGCTCAATCAAAACTCAGATGTGGGTTTCTATACTGAGGAAGATACTCTACACCCAAAAACATCATAAAAATTCTTACAAAAACCACAAACATTTCTTGATTTGTAGTAGATTTAAAAATGAAACACCCTCCTAATTTGAGTAATATATTATGTATTTATTTTTTTCTTGCAAATAATTGACTCCAGTCTTCCTATTAACTCAATAACTCAATTCTTTCACAAACACTTTTTGGTATCCATGCAAGCAGGAGAATCCGACATTAAACTCCAAATTCACATGAATATAACCCAATTCAGTCGCTCAATCAAAACTCAGATGTGGGTTTCTATACTGAGGAAGATACTCTACACCCAAAAACATCATAAAAATTCTTACAAAAACCACAAACATTTCTTGATTTGTAGTAGATTTACAAAAACTCTCAACCAAACATTCATAAAAAATTAAAATTGTTAGGGTTTACTTAAATATCATAGAGATTTGATTGACACAAGTAGAAATCAAGAAGAAAGTGAGAGGAACAGAAGATAGAGTGTACCTTGGACGATTCCAGCGATGGCTAATCTTGTAGTGGAGACTGTGAGAGGGAAGGAGTATTCGGAGGAGTAAGGAGAGGAAGGGTTTGGAAGAGAGAAGGGGTTTGGATTGTTACTACACCCAGGGGCCAGTACGTATACCTTTGTATTTAGGTCGAAATTTAATAAAAGGACTAAAATAATAAAACCCTTTCCAAAAATGTCATATAACTCTTTAATTATGAAACAATTTCTTGAATTAGTAAAAATTATCACTGATAGTATATTGGTAATATTTTATTAAACTGAAATTATAGTGTGAAAGGATAATTTTGTTATTACAAATTATAAAGTTATTTTAGTCAGTAAAATAATGCAATTATTGTTTATGATACAATGCCATAGTTTAGACGAAAAATTAATGGAGAGGGGGTGATATTGTAAATTTTTTTTAAAATATCAAGAGGTAATAATACGATAGTTTCTTTAGTTGTAGGGTTGGTTGATAATTTTTAAAAATAAGAAGGAGGTTTTATGACTTAGCCCTTAATAAAATGTAAATCAGTCATGAGAGAAAGGGAAAAAATTAAAATTAAAATTAAAATTAAAATTAAAAGTCACTTTCTGAAAATACCACTACATGTTCCATTAAATGTCCATTACATATACCCTTGCGTTGCAACTCTGCAAATAGTTCCTAAAATTTAAGATTATGAGTTTTGTGAATGAATTATCAAATTTATTTATAGTGGGTTCATCATGGTTTACTTTTTATAAGTGTGGCGATATTATTCGAGTGCTAAAGGGTTAAATCTTAAGTGCCCCCACCCTATGCTCCTAAGTGCGAATCCCTTTCTCGTATCCCCACTAACTACTAATCCTTCTTGTCTAAAAAAAAAAAATAATGTAAGAAGATTAAATTAGTAATGTTACAAAAATAATATTTTGAATTGAGATATTTATTTTGTGATAGAAAAAATAAAAATGTTGACGTTTATTTTGAGAGGGGGAATAGTATTTATCCTTCTCCATTTGGTATCTGACTCCGTTTAGGAGATTAAACTACCACTAGATGAAAGTTTTTATTTATTATTTATTTTTTAATCTGATTGGTTTGCATTGAAAAAATAATTATATGTTTCTTGAGTGACAAAAAAATTTAAAAAATTATTTTCAGTTTTCTTTGATGTGTTTTTCAACAACATTTCTTCATGTTTCTTGAGTGACAAAATATATACACACATATATACTCAGACTATTCGGTTTGCTTTAATGTGCTTTTAAATAACAATTTTTTTAAAATTAAGTTACATTTTATGAAGAACGGACAAACTGGATAGGGTTGACGTACTGCACATGTGTTCGAGCCCTGGACACATGTCCGACACTCTTCTACACGTACCCAATTTTTTATTTTTTTATTTTTTAAGTTGGACAAGGCCATGACATTTTCGAGGACATGGTAGTTCAGATTTTTGTTAAATAAAAAAAAAAAATAAAAAAAAAAAGAGAGAGAGAGAGATGAAGATATGTGTGTGGATCTATAGAAGACAACACACCAAACACAACTATAGATCTAGAGATGGAGGGGATGAGAGAGCAACTGGAAGAGAGGGGAAAGCAGCAATGATGTGATGAAGAACCTGATGATCATGGTTTGGTTGGTGTGGATACATGGAAATCTACTAAGTCCCAATTTGATTTAAAGAGTGAAAGAGAAAATCTTTTTTTAATAGTTTGATTGAACTTCTGTATACATATTCATTTGTATATAAAGTTAAGAGAGAGGAAATAGAGATGCTCTTAGAGGAGAGAGAAGATAATCAGTCAATGGGAAGACCAAGAAGATAACATTAAAAACTTACCTATTTTTTAATGCTATTGGTTACAAATTTAATTATTGGATACAAAGATTACTACTTATTTATTAGTTTTATTTTAATAATGTAGAAATTTGGTTGGAATTAATATAAATGATTTATATTTTAAGTCACACAATCCTTCTCAATAGGAGTGGCTCTCACGTTCCTGCTCTCACACTCTGTGCATAATTTTGTTTCTCCCGCTTTATGTGACCTAAGTTATATCTATTAATATAAATAAAATTATAGGTGAAATTAAAATTTTATATATAATAAAAATATATATTATTATTTAATTTATCCCCTTAGTTTTTAAAAATTTGTCACTATCTAAATGTTTGTGTCAGTATTCCTGCTTCATAGATCGTAGTTGTAGTTTTTAGGAAACTACAAAGTAGTTCCGACAATATCTGAAAACACATACAATCGGTTCACTGAAATACACTACAGGAGAGAAGAAAAGTTTGTGAACCAGAACATTCATAGAACTGCCATTGGTGCTACAATTCACTGAAAGTTGAGGCAGGTAAAAGAGATGAATATATAACATCGAAGCCCATTCTTCTAAGCAAAAATTCTACAAACCTCCAATTAACAACGTCGTAAGCCTCCTATGTCAATTTTCCTACATGCATTTAAGGAGTCTGAGCTTCAAATTATTTGGCTTCACATCGGAAAGGAGTGTCAACAGCAAACTGAAGGTGAGAGATAGGAGCTCAAAAACCCAGGTCCTGAAAATAAAATTAAAAGTAGTATTTGCTTAACATGAGGTGGACATTCAAGGCAAAAACTCCAGCCAATCGAGAAGCCAAAAGGGAAACAAGAAGAGACAATATCTTGATCATACTCATTATCCCCAACTATTGAACATAGAGCTCAAAATAAAATATCAATAAGCCACAACTCGACATTTCTCAGAACCACGGGGTAACGTCATGCAAATCTCAGCCGACCTTCTACCAATCGAAGAAAGACGAATCTTCAGTCTCTCTAGAACTTTTGAATTCTTCAAGAAATACTCTGCCATTTTCAGCTCATCAATTTTACCTGTAAACCGCCTAATTTTAATCTTCTTTAGGTGAACCAACAAACAAGAAGGCACTTTCTCAGGTGGATACCAATTGCATGTTGTTTGGTTTTCCTGGAAGTTATCTTGTAAAAGAAGTCCCTAATCAAAAAGAAATATAAATATTAACAACTCTCATTTCATTGCATAAGTAAATTAATCAAACGGAGCCTTAATGCTTTACCGCAAAATTAAGCACTTCCAGTTGCGGCGAGCTTTCAAGAAAATCCTGTAGCAATTTCCATGGAACACAATTATAGGAATCACCAATCTCCAAACAAGTCAAATGGTCAAATTTTGGCAGTGGAGACCTGCACAACTGAAGGGCCAGAGAACAAAGTCAATTAAAAATTGAAGCAAGAAACCAATAGTTCAAAAAGTACATTTGGGCATAAAGAAAAAGAGAAGAAGTCATCACATATAAATAAACGAACGGAACTGAGCGATCTGACCTTTATTGTATAAAAACATAAATGAAGCCATTTAGCATTAGATATTCCTTCAACAAGTTCTGCTAAGACTTCAGTGTCTGGGCCACCTCTTGACATTAAACTAATGTCGGCATTGACAAGGGCATTTAATTTATTCACTGAATAGCTTTTTGCTACGTTGTCATAAAATTTAAGATCTTGAAGATTTGGTGTATCAAGTACAAGCTTGTAGCCATCCTCGGACCAGTGACTTATAACTAAACTCTTGAGAGCAGGAGCAGAAATGTGAAGCACACTAATATTTTTGAAATCACATCCTTTTATGGATAACTCTTCAAGCAGAGGACAGCCAGAAAAGAGTCTATTAAATGAGTCATCATCTGAAAATTTAAGTTCTTCAACAAGGAGGATTTTAAGATTCTGCAGACAAACCAAAGTAGGGACATTGAGAACAAAACTACCAACCAGTTCAGGTACCTCAAGACTTGTACAAGTAAAAACCTCGCGAGGCAGCTCATTGTAGCCTTCCATTTTGAAGAAAAGATGAAGTTCACGCAGATTACGTGCTAGTGCAGTAGAAACAAAAAAATTAAGACTTGAAACATTATAGCTCTCAGTGCATCTCAGGCGGAATGTATGCAAATATGATATATTGCGTAAGAGAACTCGGTTGATAAAATTTATGAAGCTCATTTCTAATGACCGGAGTTATGTCTTCGTACGCTCCTGAGGATTTATAGGTTCGACTAGCAACTTATCATCGAAGTCGAGATTAGTGATTGAGGTCCAGAGATACTTCCATTTTGTTGATAATACACTAGTTGCCACTGCATCCTTTGTTGGAAGTAAAGAGAGGATATGGCCGATAAGATTGCTTGGTAAGTTGCTAATTATGTCTTCATTTTCCTCCACTTCAACCTTCTTAAAATGCCTCCCACTTTTATAAACGGAATGCATCACTTCTGTTATGTTCCTAATGAAGCAAACGAACATATAATAAAATACTGAAAAGATTGTCATAAACAATGTGAAGAACTTGTAGAGTTATATATAACAGCAAATACCAATTGTCATTAAACAGTTGTGTTGGAATCCAAAAAAAAGTGAAAAAAAAAGGAACAAACACATAATGGAAATTAAATAATAAAATTTTGTATTTATTTTTTGTTGCAATTGATTGAATCCATTCTTTCTATTAACTCAATAACTCAATGTCTCACAAGCTCTTTTGGTCTGATAAAATACTACATTAAAACTTGGAAGCATAAGATTATGAATATAACAAAGAGATATACACAATCTGATAACAAATAAAATGCAATTCACTTGTCATGAGGTGAGGAGCATGAGCATAACAATTTGCAATTCACTCAATAACTTAATGAATGTAGAATAAACCACACTTTTCACCAGAACTTTTATTGGATTTGAATGTGTATTATATATGTAGCTATTAAAAAAATATTGTGAAACCAAAGCCTAAGGCATATATATATATATATATATATATATATATATATATATATATATATATATATGTATGTATGTTTCAATTACAACTTTCTTTTACTTTGATAATAAGAAATATGGAAACAAATTTGCTACAACTTCAAGCTTCAATAACAGGGCCAAAGTCCTATGTTGATTTGTTTCTAAAACATTGTATCAACAATCTCACACTATTCAGTTGTTCCAGTGAAGCATCAATTACCAATTTTGAGTTGTTCCGAAAATATTGTAACAACATAATTTGAATGGAGCAATAAATAAAGAAAAACTTAGAACGGGTACAAGCATGTAACTCTTTTTAAAGCTCGTTTCAAGCCGGAAAGCAGTGATTGAAAAGAACATCACCATAAGTAAAAATGGTGAAGTTCAAAAGAAAACACCATTCGGTTGATGAGAGTAAAAGTTTAGGAAAAAAAAACCCTAAATTAGTAGAGATCGAAAACATTGAAAGATAAAAGAGAAAGAGATAGGATGAGAGATTTAGAGAGAAAAAGGAGTGAAAAACTCAACTGTACAAAGGTCGCCAGAGTCGTTTATGGCTTGTGGATTCAAGAGACCACACAATCTTTGCTTCAACCTTGAAAACTTGAGAGGGGACTCTCAGAGGGGTGCGACAATAGTAAAATAATTTAATCTTCAATTTTTAATCTTCATCCCTAACTAATCAATTTTTCTATTTTTAAACTCCAACTGAGATGTCGGGATTTCGAAGTCAGATTAATTCGGATTACAGGTTATCCATATAGCGAATCTTCATGCTAAAAATAATTCTCTGAAGTGTCAACATATTTAAATTATACAATTTTCTTTTTTCTTTTTATTTATTTATTTATTTTTTCTTTTATTTTTTTTGTCTAGCAAGATTTTCCTTCCACCCTGGGAGACTCCAACACCCTCTATCTTTTTTAATAGAGCCGAGATACCAAAAGTTGAAAAGAAAAAGAAAAAGAAAAAGAAAAAGAAAAACGTGATCATAACTTGAATATTATATATAATGTGTTTAAAATAAAAAATATTAAATTTTGAGTTCGAGTTGGCTGGGATTGCTACAAGTCTACCACCTTAATCCAAGGTTAACCTTAATTAAGCTTATTCAACTCAAGCCCAATTCTAATTGTAAAAATAATTATTCACGAAAAATCAGGCCAATGAAGCAGGAATTCTTCATTGATTTTATCTAATCTATTTTATTTTCATATATACTATTATAATTTGTTTATATTTGTTTATTGCTTTATTCAATTTGAATTGATGCATTGTTAATCTCAGTAGTTATTCTCTTTGATAATTATATCTTTTAAAACTTCATGCTGCATATGTGGACTCTTGATGATATTTCATTATATGTTAAATTATGAAGTATTGTGTTCCATATTTTTTGAAATAAAATATATAAATCCCCAAAATTAAATGTGAGACAAAGGGCCATTAGGCTATGGCTGGGTTTGAAATTTGTATAAGAAAAAATTGACGAATTATGTGCCTATTGCCACGGATGGATTCTTGACGACGCTTCGACGCTAGGAGCAGGGAAGATACGTATGCTGGTTGGTTAACAACAGAGTTTGACTGGAAATGTTTCTAGAGAAGGGGCGTGCATAACCATAAGATGGTATTATTGGAGTTATGTTTCAAATTTATTATTTGTTAAATTGCTAAAACTCCAACTAAATTCTTAATGAAGTTTTCAATAAAGTTTTCTATAACTTATATATTAACTTACCTTAACTTATGTGTCATTTAAGTGAAAAATTAAATATAGCTTCATTAATACTAATTTATTATATCCCTACTTATGCTAGTATAAATAGTAGGTTTACGAAGCCTACAAATCACACACTCTCAATACAAGTAAGAGAGAAAAAGAGATTTGAAAAAAAAAAAAAATTTGTTTTCAAACTATTGAGTTTGAGTGTGTGAGTTTCATATTTTCTGTTGATCGGACGGAGATAAATACACAAGTTCATGAAGAATAAGTGCAACCTTCATGAACATACAATTTTGATATCTGGGCTTAGTTGAATCCCTGAGATAGTGCTACCATTTGTCTTCCGTTGCACGTGGAAGAGGCTTCAACTATCTTCAAGAAGCGATTACACGCCTTTAAGCCTTAATACTCACCATTTTTAATATATTGGTTCCAACAATTTGAAGATATTTGTCTCTCCAATGGCTTTATCTTCGTTACTGTCCAACACTGTTTCTTCTGTTTTTCAACCGAATATCGAGGCTTTTAATTGTAAAAATTATCTTCGGTGGAAAGGAAAAATGGAATTTTTCCTTCGACAATTGGAAATTGCTTATGTCTTGACTGAGCCATGTCTAACTCCTCTAGGAGACAAGACGTCGTCTAATCAGGTTAGTTCGATCAACGAGAAGATCTCAAAGTGGATTGACGATGATTACTTTTGTCGTAATCATATCCTTAGTGGTATGGTCAACACCTTTTATGATCAATACTCGAAGAAATGCAAGACCGCCAAAGAGTTGTGGGACATTCTCAAATTAGTCTGCACAACTGAGGAGGCCTGCACCAAAAAGTTCTTGGCTTCTAATTATGTGGGCTTCAAGATTGAAGATGGAAGGTCAATCTTTGAGCAAGCACACAAATTTTAACTCATAGCAAACGATATTATTGCTGCTAGAATGTCTCTTGACGAGAACTTTTATGTAGGGGTTATTATTACAAAACTCCCTCTATCTTGGAAGGATTTTCGTAATAAACTCATGCACAAAAAGAAAGATATTACTCTAGAGCAATTAATGCAACACATCTTCATTGAAGAAGAAACCAGAAATCGTGATGTCAAACAAGATTATAAAGAAACAACAGTAAAAGCTCATGTTGTTGAGGAAAGGTCTCACAACAAAACCGTCAAGAAGAATCACAAAAAGAATGATTTGAAAGCCAAGTCTTCTGAAAGCTACAAAATACACTTTGGCTCTGGTGCAAATACAAAACGCAAGGCTATTGTCATAAGATCAGCCATTTTGTTAAAGATTGTCGAAAATGCAAGGCTAATCTCATGAACCAGAAAGAGCCTAAGAAATATGCTAAGGAAGATCTAACTGCTGTAATCACTGAGGCTTTTGTCATTGGAATCTCAGTGGAGTGATGGATTGATACGGAGCAACTCGCTATATTGCAACGATTCTTAACTCCTTCAAAACCTACGAAATAGTGGGGGATGGAATGTCAATGTTCATGGGAAATTCTTCCTTTTCCAAGGTTGTGGGTAAAGGAAGCGTGGATTTAAAGTTTACCTCCGGAAAAGTGATTACTTTGAAAGATGTGCTACATGTTCCAGATATTCGCAAGAATTTGGTGTCTGGCGCCCTCCTCTCCAAGCATGGATTCAAGATGGTTTTCGAATATGATAATTTCATTCTGGGTGTGTTTGTCGGGAAAGGCTATGCTGCAAATGGTATGTTTAAACTTAATGTTGAAAATGAAATAATTTATGCTTATATTGCTGAGTCAATTGATTTATGGCATGGTAAATTAGGCCACGTGAATTTTAAGTCCATTAATCAAATGGTTAATGAAGGGCTAATCATAATTTGTGATAAAAAACATATGGATTAATATGTGACTTGTAGTAAATGCAAAATTACTAAGAAAACCTTCAATTCGATAAAGAGGAAATCCACTTTATTGGAATTGATCTATACTGATGTATGTGAAATTGACTTTTTATCACGTGGAGGGCATCGTTACTTTATCACTTTTATTGATGATTGTTCTAGATATACCTATGTTTATACTTTACGATCTAAAGATGAAGCTTTAGACAAGTTCAAGACATATAAAACAGAAGTTGAAAAACAGCTAAATTCAAGCATCAAAGTTATTCGATCAGATAGAGGAGGAGAATACATCAAGTCCAAGTTTCAACATCTATGTGAAGATGAAGGAATCGAAAAACAACTGACAGCCTCTTATACTCCTTAACAAAATGGAGTAGCTAAAAAAAAGAACAGAACTTTGACAGAAATGGTGAACTCAATGCTTACCAGTTCGGGCTTACAAAAAAATATGTGGGTAGAAGCTTTGTTATCTACTTGCCACATTCTCAATAGAGTTCCACATAAGAAAGTCAATATGACTCCATATGAAGTATGGAGAGGAAGAAAGCCAAATTTTAATTATTTCAAAGTCTGGGGTTGCTTAGCTCATGTTAGAC